ACTTCTTCCTGCCAACACCCTGCAACTCTTCTACTCAGACACGATCATATAGCCACCTGCCTACTGTCTATCCCTACCCTGAAGTTGAAAGGCAGGTCAGACTCAGTATTTTCCTCCTCTTTTTTACATCACTTACCACAGCTTCCACATAATAACCAAAAAAGAAATTTCTGGCTTATCAGTCTCTTCTCTCATTCTCTGTCATACACACAGTCACCATTTCCTCACAGCTAGTGACTTCTTTCCTTCCCCACTGCTGCTAACTCTAGTGTGTTCTTTTCATATCTTTGCAGTAATCTCTTAAATATTTTGCTTGTTTTCCTCACCTCTTTTTAAAAAATTATTTTTATGTATAGGAAGTGTTTTGCCTGCATATATGTAAGTATACTGCATGCATTCAGTGATCATAAAGACCAGAAGAGGGCATCAGATATTTCCTGGAACTGGGGGTTATACATGGTTGTTAGCCTCCATATAGGTGCTGAGAACCAAACCAGGTACTCTGCAAAGACACAGTGCTCTTAACTAATGAACTATCTCTCCAGCCCATCATGTTTTTCTCAAGTTTTGCTCCTTCCGCAACATACACACAGTTAAAAAAATTACTATCCTGAAATGGAAATGTCTTTGTCATTCCTTGAATTAAAAAATTTCACTATCGCCAGGTGTAGTGGAGCACACGTTTAATCCCAGCACTTGGGAGGCAGAGGCAGGTGGATCTCTGTGAGTTCAAGGCCAGCCTGGTCTACATAGTGAGTTCCAGGACAGCTGGGGCTACAGGGAGACCCTGTCTCAAAAAGACCAAAAAAAAGAAAACTTCACTATCTATTCTCCTTCCCTAGCAAGCCTCCAGCACGTGTATGTTCAAGGTATACAGAACTTTATTTCTGTAATACACTTCCCTCCCTCCACCTCTTTTGAAAGTGTCTCCTTCTATAGCCAAAACTAGCCTGTAATTCACTATGTATCCCAGGATGGCCTCACTGCATCAGCCTTCTGAGTACTAGGTATTATACTCTTCTCATACCAAATACATCTGTTCCTCTTTTTCCTTCTGCCAGCAATGCCTACCCAGTATCCTCTCTTTGTCAAATGCCTCTCTGGGTCTTTAAAATTTTTGCTCCTGTGTTGGAAAGATGATTCAGTAGTTAAGAGTATCCACTGGCTGCTCTTGCAGAGGACCTGGGTTCAGATCCTTGCACCCACATAGTGGCTAGCAATCATCCATAACTTTAGTTCTATGAAATTCAACACCCTCTTTTGGCTTCTGCAGGCATTGCACACATGTGTTGCACTTACATATATACAGGTAAAACACTGATATACTTAAAATTTAAAAATAAGCTGGGTATGGTGACACACGCCTTTAATTCCAGCACTCAGGAGGCAGAGGCAGGTGGATCTGTGAGTTCAAGGACAGCTGGGGCTACAGGAAGACCCTGTCTCAAAAAGACAAAAAAAAAAGTAAAATTTTACTCCTGCTCTTTTCTTCTACAGACTCTTAAAAGCATCTTCAGTACTACACCATATTTTCCTGTGTTAATTTCTTGACAGATAAACAGTTAAGTGATTATCATTAAATGACTAATAGTGGCTATCCAGCCTGGATCACTTCAGGTGAGGCTGAGAACTTTGAGACATCCTAGTCAGTCAAGCTGGTTCTGTATGTAGCAAACTAGAACCACCATTAGAATTACTACAGTGCCAACCAAGGTCCTATAGACAGGGCACAAATCTTACCTCATACAGCTGTGCTTAATGTCAGGTTCAGTTTATACTTAATACAAAAATGAGGCCTTAATACAAAAATGAGTGAGTAAGGTAAGGATTGCTAGCCACCTAAGCCTGCCAACCTAAGTTTTATCCCGTGAACCTACGTTCAAAATTTAAAAAAATAAAATAAAATCACAGAAATAGTGGCATACATCTGTCATCCCCGCACTGCTATAAGCAGAGACAGAATTGCCTGGAAACTCATAGTCCAGGTAGCCTCCAGTACACAGCACAGCAAGAAAAACTTAACGAGAGCCTGCCTCAACAAGGTGGAAGGCAAAAAACGACTTGCAAGATTGTCTTGTGACCTCCATGTGTGTGCCAAGGTATACATGTATGTACTTGCATACAAATACACAATAAATGCAGCATGACTCAGTTCCGACCTGCGGAAGCTGCCACGAAGTACCTGGATTGGGGAGTGGGGACATGGATGAGGCAAGCGGCAAGAGAAATGGAGACAAGACAGGGCTCTGATCAAGTCTCGTTTATTAAAGCACAAGCATGAGTTTAAATAGAGAATGAGAACAAAGGAGCAAAGAGTGAGTAATCAAACCGGTCAGAACACAGGGGCCCTGACATACTTTAAGGGAGGAATCTACTGATTACTGGAGAACAGGGCCGTTCACTGGAAAAGAGAACAAGGCCGTGGGCCAAGGTTGTGGGCCCCAGCTGTGAGCCAAGGTTGTGGCCTGAATGGAAAGGTCACCAACTCAGGTCTGCCAGCAGCCCCGAGAAATGGCTGAGCCTCAGGCTCCCAACAGGTCCCCCTTTTTTACTTTATAGAGTTTCAGGGATCGAAGGTTAGCATTAGACTACCCTCCTGTCTTAGGTTGCCATCAAGGGGGGATTCTCATGTACCCATCATTGACTGTCCAGTTCATCTATCAAGGGGGATGGCTACTAGCACCATCATAGCAACATGTCCCTATCAACTCTTGATCCATAAGATCAAGACGATGGTAATGGACCTGTTTCGGTTTCACAGTGTGAAGAACCTCTATTTGCTGTTTAATAAGGACCAACAGCCTTTGCACTAACAATGGCCCTAGTGTAAGAAGAAGCAGGAGGAAGAGGAGGGATGAAACCACGGAGGGAATCCAAGAAAGGAAAGGGGAATCTAGCCATCTAGAAGGGCCTTGATAAAGATGATGCAGTTTGTAACTGATGTTCTGCAGGGTCTGTATATTTTGTTCCACTAATCCCGATTCATTGACGTAGAAACAGCATTCTTCCTGTAAGAAAAGGCAAGTTCCCCCCTTTTCAACAGTAATAAGATCAGGGCCCTACGATTTTGAAGGGCAACCTGTGCCAAGGAAGTCAGCTGGCGTTGCAAGGACGCAAGGCTACTGGCTGTGGATTCTATAACTTCTTGTAATTGGGAACTGAATTCCTTTGCAGCATATAGAGTATGTCCCAAGGCCCTTGCAGAAAGGCTGGCAGAAACAGTAAATCCTATCCCGATAGCAAAAGGGATGAACACTCCTCTCTTAATGCGTGGGCGGAGTAGCCAGGCAAACTCCTCTGGCGAATACATGTTTAGTTGGGGTACAATAGTAATTAATACACAGGGTCCTGGAGAGAAAATAGTGATCTGTTGATACAGTGATTCATTGCACCAAAAAGAAGTAAGAAGGGGAGCATAAAGAAGTGAACTGACAGAGCAATTACTGCGACATATGAAGGAGGGAGAAATATAGATAGCAGTGACATAGCAGAGGGAAATATTTTGAGCAGGATTATGAAGTAATGGAATTGATGGTATGGGGGGAGAAGGTACAGTGCCAGCGGCAATGATGTTGAGTGCAGAGGAATTATTAACAGGGACAGTGGCTAGTAAGGGCCAAACCAGGGAGACACACAACAAACATAATGAAGCATTGATATTAGAAAGGTTTATCAATTGTAAAGCGAAATTTAAATAATTGGGCTAAAGGACGAGATTAAGG